CTTTGTGGCTGCCGCGATGCGGGGAGTTTGGGGAAGCCGGCCCGATGAGGCGGCGGTGACTCGAGGACGCGTGGCAACACGGATCGGCAGTCACAGGGTCCGGCCACTAGGAGAAGGGGGCAACAGGAACGTTGGGAGGGGGGCAAAGCGGTGGAGAAAAAAGGTGAGGATTTTTTACTCCGCCGTTGAGGGGTGGAGTAAATATAGCCGCCGGATACGTGACCGAGGAAAAAAAATCCTCCTCTATGAGTTTTAGGAGTTTGGCTAGGTCTCGGTTAGAAAAGTAAAACTAGATTTTTACTACTCTAGTCTCTAGGATCGGCTAGAGTTGGTCTTACCAGCCGACCCCGTCCACCATCGAAGAATGAAGCATGTGTAGCTCGATATACATTTCGTCAGTTACAAACTTTGCGCTTGCCAATCTTCCGACTTACACGTGGCAACAGCCAACAATTCACCGATGATATAACCAATACCCTATAGCAGCGCGTGAGTTATGTTGTTCCCGCATCACTTCGTCCGTCATAGAATCGACACAAGTTGTCCCCACAAAATGATTCAGAGTTGTTCCCACAAAATCATCAGCAAGCAATACCAAACAAACATAACAGAAGATTTTCTACTATTAGATTTTCGGAAATTCAAACCTGAACCAAAACTAATAATCTCTAGTGACTGTTGCAAGTACATAGATCCATTCGTGCATCTTACAGCTCAAGGCAACAGAAACCTACTCTACCAACAAAATCGCCGCCTTAGTCCACATGGTTTGCGAGAAACAGGGTCCTCTTTTCTACAAGTGCTGACAAGATAAGAGATGAGTTAGCCACCCTTGGCTGAAATTTCGGGCTTGAGCAGCTTCCGGACCTCCCCTGCGGTCAGTTTATCCTTACCAGCCAGAGCAGCAAGCTCGGCGATGGACTGTTTCTGCTTGACATTATTCCTGACAAACGGTGTGCCAACGCTGCTGCCATCCCCGACAAACCGCCTGTCATCTGTGGGTCTCTCGTGTTTTTGTTTCTTGTGAATCGGTTTGTCCGATAGGAAACCTGGCGATTTCCTCTTGCCACTGTCATTCAAGAACGGCATGCTCACGGGTTTCTTGCTGCTCGATTCTCCCTCAGGCATTGCCTTGGCGGATTTCTGGCCCTTGGTGCTTTTCTGAAATGACTCTGGCTTGGTGGTGCCGGCATCCGCAGTAGTAGGTTTGTCGGTCTTCTCTTTCTGTTTACGCTTCTTTGCAGGGCTTTGAGGAGAAAACAG